ACCTCCTCTAACCCCACAAGAGGAAGTCAGAATCACCATCAATAGCACAAGGCCTATTCCTGTGAGGTCAGACATGCTGCTTCCCTCCAGCCCTTTCATCAACCCTGACACCGACCGTTCCTCCCGCAGCACCCACCACCTCTCTGCTGGGTTGCAATGGCCACACAGAGCTCACAGATTACCAGGTTTATTAGGGAGGCACAAGGCTACAATTCAATTTCAGGAACAATGCTCAGTCTCTCTCAGCCTGCCATCTCTCAGTCAACAGTATCTCTCAGTCTCTCTCGCAGCAGTGCATGTCTCTTGGTGTCTCTTTCTCAGCAGTGCATGTCTCTCAGAAGCATATTTCTCTCAGCAGCATGTCTTTCTTAGCCAGCAGTCAGAGAGACCTCTGAAGGGTTCCTTTTGAGCCTGGCAGAGTGACCACTAACCAAGCCCAGCATCAGAATTCTGTACACCTGAGAGAGCAAACTTCCCAGAAAATTTGTGCTGCTCCCAACAGAAATACCCAAGGTGGATAACTTTAATAATCAGGAGCTACTCAGTCGCTCACAGCAAATTCCACCATGAAGTTTACAAGTTTACAAAGACTTATGGCTAGAAAAGCCACACTATGTAATTTACTACAACTGTGCTAATCCATTTCAGTGAAGAAAATATCATGAACATTTATTTTTAATATTTTTTAAAAATAAAGGGAAAATTAAATTTGTCCCATATAACCACATATGCAAAGGGTGCTTATTTATTAAACACATTCAGTATAATTAACACAATTTTATTTAGTTGGTGAGACTTCATTCACTAGCTAAAAACTATATATACACTTATTTCTTATATACACTGATTATTTTTCACCAGGAAATATTACAACACACAATTAATGACCTTGGACAGCATTATTGGGCTTGATATTTCCAGTCCTGCTTGATCCTAAGGGCAATCATTAAAATATTATTATCCTGCATGACCAATGTTATGTTTGATTTCCTTAACTTTTGGCACACTTAACAATGCCAAATGGAAACTCAAATTGTTCCTATTAAAAGTGTAAGAACTTATAATTCTCCTGCCTTTGTATTTAATGCAATGATTTATCAGACAAGTGTAATCAGAGATTTTCTGAGGAAATTCTGCATTAACAACAATTGAATTTGAAGTCTGAGCTGGCCAGCATTGATTTTTCACATTTATTTTGTGTTTCTGGAGGTTGGCATTAAGGTTCTTGAAATTCTCCTCTGTGCTTTGTAAGGATGAAGGTCACTTTGGAGTTGGTCATTCCTCTGTTTATAAGTGATTGACAAGATGTGAAAAAGACTAGGAATTAGGCTTCTGGGTCACAAATGTCACCATCATGAAGTAGGGAGAATGAATAATGCAGCAGCATTCTCAACTTGCTAAAAAATAAAAAGACATTACAGTGGATTGATTGTACAATAATCATGTTTGCTTTAATTTTTTCCCTACTATATATAATTTCCAAAGCATTTTTTCCAGATGCAAAAATAATAAAAATACAATGTGTATTTTGTTTTCTTTTAATAAGAAAATACTTAAAATGATACAAGGCTTTTTGATACTTTCAGATTTTCCTTAAAATATTTTGGATTTTTATGGTGCTGATATAAATTCAAAATAACCTAACAATGTTTAAACCATCTGCTTCATTTTCTCAACCAGTGTCTGCCTGCAAACAATGAAGAAGATACACATTGAACTTTAACATCAAAGAGGGTATAGTGAATTTTGGAGGCAAATTCTTCCAAACTCTGGTAAATATGAAAACAATGGCACAGATTTATTCAACGTGAACTCCTACTGAAATTGATTTCCCTGTA